CTTCATAACTGCCCATCATGGCACCCTTTAAACTATGCACTCAGTTGGAATTTTGACCAGTTGGAGTTCACCCAACCTTATATTTTCAGTTTGTATTTTTGATAAATAAGATCGAATTCTGGATGCTTCTTGTTCTTCAGCTAGCCAGTGGTTTTGCATTCCTCTGAAGACAACCTGTTTGCAATGCACAACATGATTTGACAAGTTTTTGTTGTTTCTTACAAGTTCACTAGATAGGCATGGTTTGGTGATTTAAAATTTGCATCTAATAATTTATTTGACAAATAAATTTAAGTTATTTCCAACAATGTATGTGGGTACTTTCAGTCCAATATGGCATCGTTGAGTATTAACTCTTACATTCACAGTAAAAATTAACCCTATGTTGCTGAAAACATGATGTTGGAATGATAGAAACCAGCTAGCTGACAAACAGTGCTTCATGTGCTGCAAATATATGTTTTGGTTAATTAATAAATTATGATGAATGTATACGTGTGGTAGTACAAGCGTGCTTACCTGTATGTATATTTAAATTAGTTTGTGTAGATTTTCATTATTTACACAAATGTGTATACAAAAGAATACTACTAGTACAACCTTTCAGGATTTTGGCTTAGTGTCGAGATGTTTATTTTGGTCTTATTTCTGAACAGGTTACTTGTAATTCACCAATGTTTCGTTAGCTATACTTAGATGTAGTATTATAATATATATTTTGTGTAGATTGAACGAATATAATTTTGGATTTACTTGTAAAATCAGACATGATTTTACGTAATATTCAGAATATGGTTGACTTGTACCAAAAAGCATTTTGAAGTTTGAGTTGTTTACAGTTTCAGCACAGTCATGAGGAACGATCTTCAATCTCACAAGTGAATTGAGGCTCTGCTAGAGACAACCAAACACAGGTGGGACTGTACAGAGCTGGAGGGATTGCTACAGCGCCAGCATTTGCTCAGCCTGAAGCACATTGGTCACAGGTACTGAGCCTGTGAAGCCTGCTGCAAATACACAGTTACTGGGTCAGCAACTATCAAGAAAGGTACCACCATGCTCCCGTGCTCAACCTGTTCGTATCACAACCATCTGGTTGTGCCTTCAACATTATGTTACTGACTAAACGCCTAATTTTCCTATAGCCAAACACCAGTGATATTATCGAAGTTTACAGATTTCTCAATGAATATCTGAGTAAGAACCATATAACAACAAGACGCTTATCAGAGCAAAAATCGAAATTATTAGACCTCAACTGAGTTTGAAGAAATTAAAGATACTGGACACAATGCATAACCAAAATGTAGCAATTTTTATGTAAACACAAACATAATCAAAATCAAAGGTAATTGCATTTTTCGGTGACTTTAGAAGAGAACATTATGTATGTTAATCTATTAATGTTTCAAAATATCTAATATAATATCCTGTCCAAGCCTGAGAAAATATTATATTATATACTAATAACAACAACGACATTCTTCTCAGGGTGTATCTACAACACTTGTGACTGACGGTCACTTCCACTTTCAAATAAGGCATCACCTTACTTCTCAGTGGAAAGATCTCTTTCAATTTCCGTACAGTATGTTCTAACTCATAGAAATGTATTCCAGGAGAAACTCCATGTAACACACTATTTAAATGACCTTGCTCCCTGGATAACTAGGACAAGTGGAACTTTGTGGCTCTGTAGAACAACTTTTTATATCAAGAACGAATGTTCGATACGCAAACAAATTTTGGAAAATTTATATATTAAATAAGAAGGTAGGAGACACTTGGTATGCCTGTACATTACCCACCCTGAATATTTTCAAATTTAATTTTTGTTAAGGGAGCCGAGAATCTTGTGAATTGCCTAATGTTCTACTGCACTTATGAAAAGAATATGGTAAACTACCCAAAAGACTTCAGACCAACAAAGTGGAGCAAAGTAACATCATGTACGATGCGTCATTGAAATGTCTGCATTCTCAACTGTCAATGAGATAGTAATCTCCATGGGTGATGTAACTCAGAATTTGTTTCCAGATCCAATGACCACCACATTGTTCAGGAAAGAGATCCAGACACAAGAACATTCCTGCAACACCTATAGCCCTGTGTATTGTAAATATTTTTCAGCTGTTAAACAGCTTTCAATTGATTATTAGGTTGATTTTGTGTTTTGAACTTATTTGTATTTTACTTTACGTTATAGCGTTTCAGTGGCAAATTTAAAGGCTTATAATGTTAAAACATGGTATCATACCTATGGTGGGAACAGCACAGATAGCCCATTGTTTAGCTTTGTACTTAACAACAAACAAATACACTTTACATTATATCTTTTGTTTTTTAAGTTTCTAATGTGTTAATTGGCCAGAATTCTAAGTTATTTTACAATTCAATCTAAATTTTGTTTAAATTTCATATTGTAATTATGAGATAATTGTATATGATATTGAGGTTTGGTTCTCTAACAGGTTCCTTTGGTCGTTTTTGTGTATATGTCATGCCGTTATGAACGTTACCATTATAACACGATTACAATGTATTTTACGACCTGACAGGCTGTAGTTAGCATACTACTTCAACAAATAATCCTTTAATGTAAATGTCGGGACTAGGTACCCCTGAAGTAAAGAAAGAGTAGGGTGACCAGATTTCGAAACCGAAAAACTGGGATAGCCTAGCCTTTGTCCCTAATTTCAAAATGGTTAATACATATTTAAAATAGTTTAACTTTTATTTAATTTACATTAAATTTATTGAACTATTTCACAATATTTCCAAATGTATTAACATTGGCATTGTTTTTAAAATAATTTCATCTACTGTTTTGGTGATAGACACAAAACAAATGAGCAAAAACAGTCAACTTATACGTCCAAAAAATATTTAATTATTCACTTTATCTTAAAATATGCTACTTCATACCTGGATTTATTTAATAACCCATAACATTTTAAAACATACTACTTTTAGGTTTTAGAATTACATTGAAACTTTTTTGACATATTTTTGTGAAGAATGAATGAAACTTAGAAGTCATAACATTCATTACATGACTGAGTAAAGTGTGATTTGGCGATTGGCACTTCCTTAAATGTTTCTACATCCAGAAGTGCACAGACCTAGGTTTTTCACCATATACAAACGGGACTTTCGAGAGAGTTTGGCGGCAGGAGAGTGTGTATTACAAGCAGGCCTATTACTTTCGTTATTCGATGTGACACGCAGTTTTGTGTCTTTTATCTTAAAACCATGTTTTGTGTGTCCCCAGAACTTTTCTCGGGACACTGGAACAAACTACCAAAAAACGGGACTGCACACTTGGAATAATTATGATTTCCCTTTCCATAATTATTTGAGAATATATTTTTGTTCCGTTATATTCACACAATTTTTCTAAATTTTCTTGCAGTTTTTGAATGTAATATGTAGTTAATCACGGCAATGTTGGCGGATTTCCTCTCCTCACAACATTTCTCAAAGTCGTTAAAAGGTGTTAATCCTATCCTCTGTATATCATAACATTCAGTGTGTGTGTTATGCAACTCCTCCTAAACCGCTGGTCGCACCAACTTCGAAGTGATACGAAACTAATCGTCTCTGTCCTGAAGTTTGCACAAAGGTAAAAATTTACACCCCACCCCTTGGGGAACTCTGTGATTTTCCAAAAAGCCCTTCTTCTAAACTGTTGGACTCACCAACTTCCTAAATGGTGCCAAACGAACAGTCACGGCCCCGAGGTTTGCACAAATGTAAAACTTTTCATCCTAACTCCTTAGGGTATTTCGCGAAAACACTTTTACGGGGATTCCCAAATTTGACATTTGTTTACGTTAGAGCATGCAAATAAGTAGGTCTATTAATTATCATTCGTAACTTGGTAAAAGAAATTAAATTTGAGTTATAGCGGCAATGATCATTAAACTGAAAAAGTGCCAAATAGTAGTTCAAGCATTAAATGTATATAAAAGTAGCTCTGTAAATGTGTACCATAGGCCCACGGTTCGCTAGTTCCACAAATAGAGATTACATATTACAGCTTTAGTACTTAAGACTAAATTGCAAGATAGTATGTATGTGTTTCTGTACGAACTTTGGGAAAGTAGCCTATTCAAACACACTGTTGTGTATCTGCTCGTTTGTTAATTTCCGGTATAAATTCTTTCCGAGGAACTTCGGCGATACAAGTCCTTTCTTAATTAAAACTAGTTTATTCTTTCTTGATACAACTTTTTAGTACACAGAATTTCCACAGTCACTTTAAACATAACAACCTTTATAACACACGCTATAAATAACAGTGATTCACACACTTTACTTACGGTGCCCACTGTTCGCTTGACTCGGTTATCTCCATCTTCAGTCTATCTACATATCTATCTATTCAATCGCACTGGTTTTCTCGCCAGACTTATACCCTAAAAAAGAGGGCACTTCGAACAAACTCGGGCCTCCCCGATAATTCATGATCCTTCTAGAAACTCCAGCGCGCATGCTCCCAGAGTCACGCGACTTCCGCTGTCGTAACAACACATTACAGAGCTATGTACAACTGGTGTGGTTTAGAATTCTATGTTGTGGAAATAATGACAATTTTATATTGTTAGTAAGTAAAACAAACACATAATTAATTTGTATATTATCAGTGCAAAATTAGAAAAGTATGCTGTATTACAAGATAAAGAGATTACAAAACTCCAACTTCTTTACTGCCTCATAGGTCATTCTTAACTCTCTTTGTACTTGTACTTAAATAATAGCTTATTCAATCAACGCCTTCCCCCAGTGGGACAGCGGTTAATGTACGAACTTACAATGTTAAAATCCGGGGTTGGATTCCTCGTAGTGGACACAAAAAAAAAACCATTGTGGCTTTGCTGTAAAACAAAATTATAAAGTTCAAACAGCGTCATCTCGTTTGTATTTCCGATTTACGATCAACTTCATACTTCATTCCCACAGGTAATTTCGTTTAGATTTTCTGGTATTTTTGCACATATCTGGTAGTGCTGCACTGGTACAGATTTCGTTTATGAGAGAGTCACGTGACAGCTAGTGTAATATTTAATAGCAATACCGAGGCTCAAGTGTTTCAACTTCATACCTTGTGTCGTTACGAAAATAACCAATTCAGTTACGTAAGTTTATATTTGTTGTGTTAGAGATGTGTTTTGTTGAGTTTATTTTAATTTTTAGTATTTCTTGAAACATTGAAAGTTATTGTCTTTGTAATGGATTGTCGCATAGATCTCAATAGGACATGTCTAGCCGGACGGGGGGGGGGGGGCAACTGCCTAGGGGCCCGGGCGAATGAAACCTTGTTATGCCGTAAAGCCTGCATAGCATCTTTAGGCTATATCTTAATTTAATGATAAAAACCATAGTTTTTTGCTTTTCTTTGCATATGGACGCTTGATACATTAAGAACAACTGAAGTAATAATTTGAGTAATAATTAATATGTATATGTTACTTTATAGATTTAATAGATATTTGTTGTTACTTTATAGATTTAATCGGTATTTGTTGTTACTTTATAGATTTAATAGATATTTGTTGTTACTTTATTAACGTTTGTACGCTTATACTGTGAGGTAAAACGGCTGCTGGTTTATGAGCTCGTTGCTACCCTAATTTAGGATCTTCTTTTTAATAAATTCTTCAAGATGTTAAAAGAGAGAGAGAGAGAAAGGGGGCCCTTGCTGGCTCTCGACGCTCCTGCCTGTACTGTAGGCTAGTTGATAGTGATGAGTGCTAATGACATCTCAATCTTAAAAACTCTAAGTAACTTAGTTTGGCAAAATTAAATCTTTCCTTTGTTATGCCAAGCTTTAAATACAATGTTGATATTCTACTGAAATTAAAGAAATATGAGAAGTTGATATTTCAGAATGAAAAAAAACTATTCATTTGGAATAACAATGACAAGAGTCTAAAGTTTAAAATGAGAATTTTACTTGTAGTTGCATGAACAACTTTGTGAATCTGTTGAGCAAAAAACAAATGCATACTATGGAAGATGTTTCATCTGTAAATAAGGTTACCAAATTTCTAGATTGAAAAATTGGGACTTTTTTGTTGTTGTTTCCATAGGGAATGACACTGTAACAACTTTTAAACACTTTAAACTACAGTAGTACACATATTACCATTTTCTAAGTAATCTGATAGTCATTAAGTTCAGTTTTAAAACTACTAAAAACCGAATTTGTTAAAATCTTATCTAGTTCAAAAATATGAATAAAAAATGCACCTAAAGCATTAAGTTGCTTTGAACCCATTCACAAGAGCAATGTTGCTTCTTTATTTTCTTATTTGTGTCTGGGCAGGTCTTCAAATCTCAACTCTTGCAGCTGTATTTTGACAGGTTAGGTTAAGGAAATGTAAGAGAAGGGGAGGGAAGATTGTACCACGTGAACTGTCTTTGTTAGGTGATTCTCCAAGTAAAGTTTAAAGGAGTTCTGTTTAATGACAAACTCTACATAACAAACTTACATTGAGGTACAGAGAAACTGGGATAACTTAATACTTTAACTGTTTCTGATTGGAACCTAAAAAAGTAAAGACTTAAAATTGGGGTGATCCCAGTTTTACTGGTATCTCTGGTAACCCTATACCTGTAAGTGTAAATGATGCCAAACTTGTCTATTGCCATGTCTTTAGTTTTTTATTTAACTCGTGAAGGCAGTTTTGTGCAGTGTAAGGTTATTTTTTGTACTTTGCCTCCATGGTCCAGTTTTTAATGTAAGTACTTCCTCCAAACAACTTCAGTATGTTGTTTATCATTATGAAAGGCAGTAACTATAATATATAAATTGAAACATTGTATTTTGTTAATAAAATGTCTCGTATCTCTAAGGAAGTAAATATTTATTCACTATATTTACATCATATTTTTTTGGTTTTGCACCTCCTTCATAATAGGTAACAGCTGCTCAAGAAGCTCAGCTGTAACTGAAAAGAAAACTGGAGATTTGGATGTGTTTGAAGTGTAAATTTAAGCAGATGTAATCTTTGATGTTGGTGCAAAACCAAAATGCCAGAATGTTATCTTTGAGTAAAGGGTAATATTATGTGAAAATTACCAACATAAGCTAGTCTGTGCTACAAAGTCTGAAAAAGACTAAAATATTTTAGTGGCTATTTAGCCATACTGAAGTCATTTGTTTATTGTTAGGAAATGTTATAAATATTAAAATATAACCACATTGTTTTAAGGTATGTACCAAGAATTTATACCTAACCATTACTTGTTGTCATCTTGCATAGAGCAGAAAGTAACATTAATGTTGTCATGCTACTTTTCGATGACACTGTGTGCATATGCAGGAGTGTGCCAAATATGTATTATAATGATGGTTGTAACCATTTATTGATACATGTGCCCATCCCAGACCATGTCTTACTGATGGCTCAAATACTAATGCAGCAATTACTTGTTATATATTCCAGAATTATGGTGAAAATGTTCACTCTTGGATACAACTACATGACATAGCTGTTGTGGTATTTAAGATTTAGGTATGCATTGGATGTCCTTCACAAACTGGATATGAAAACTCAAATACCATTCTTTTTTGGAAAAAGATGTAACCAGCATCATACAAAGGAATGTGACAGAAGTGCATTGGGTGGTAGAAGCATTAAATGGACATATAAAAACAAAGAAATTTCTGGATAGACGACTATTTATTAACTTGTGGATTACTTTTATAATGGATTGTGAGTATTGACTGTGCATGTTGCCAGTGGCAAAACACAAGAGTGAAGCTGATTCTGTTACACAATGCATTTTTGAGCTGGTGAAATACACTCGGCATACATAAATGGACTGTTGAGTCCAAAGGCTTAGCATGAAAGAGTTAGATGTTAAAAAAGATAAAAACAGTTGATGAAACATTGAACTTTCCACAGTCTTCTGAATAATGTCTGTAATCACCAACACTTTGTAAATACCAGCTGAAGCAAGTGGTATTAAACACATAAGAACATCAACCTACAGATGGGCTGTATGTTGATTTAGATCAGTAATGAAAGGGGGTGATCTTCCTTGTATGAAAATTCAATCTTGTCACGTTTCATGCAAGATGTACCCTTTATTAATTCATCATATTGGTCAGAGTGACCAACTTCTTTTAATTTGGTATTGCCTGTGTGCAAACAATTAGTGGTATGCTGTGAACATTATATTATCAGTATTGTGGTTCCTGGGGCTCAAATGGCACAAGGAACACAGATTCAGAATGTCAGCTTCCATACCTGAAGACATTCAGGATGCTGCAGAAATTATCTATGACACCTTTAAGGAATCAGACACTGACTGAAGGTGGGATGTGAATACTTTGCATCCACAGTATGTAAAATTTGTCATTTTTTTCATTAAATTATGGACAAAATTAAATGCCAGTTTCAGGAGATTTTTGCAGTTTTCATCATTTGTGGTATGAGGTAAACACTATATTCACAAAAAGTGAGCACATTTGTTGTCTTATACTGTAAATCCTTAATTTTAAAGTGGAATGACAATAGACAGTTTCATACTTAAAAATTTTATATTGTTGATTGAGAAAGAACACTGCGGAACATAATGTACAGACACTAAATTTTGGAATAAAATCTTAATCACTTTAAAAGATACCACTGAAATTTGGAAATGCTCATTTTATTCAGAAGAAGAATCGACTGTGAAGTTCAATATCTTCTACTTAAATATTAACTGTACTTGGGATATATTAAAAAAATTTCTTTGTTTTTTTGTTACCTGCTGGTGGCAGCACAAACTACTTCTATTTCATATGATTATTGTTAAGACAGTAAACTGAGGCTTGACTGTTCTTTGAGGAAATTTAAAAAAATTATGCAAAAAAAAGAAAGATAATGAATGAAATGAAAATTGATCTATTCTAAATGAAGAGAGTGAGAAATTTAGTTGTTGTTTTTTTTTTATTAAGTTCTCTAGGTTTCTAATCCATTATAGAATAGAAAACAACTTAGCCAATAATACAGAAACCTGATAGAACAACTGAAGCTGTATGTTCTTTAGGACTAATTGCAAATCCATTTGGCTAATTCATCACTAATGAAATAATCTTTATCTCAAATATCTGTCAATGTCAGTGTTAGAGAAACAACATTCAGTGGAATATCTGTGCTGATTTGCTCATTTTTATATTCACATAAGTTATTGTATTTATACATCCCTTATGCTTTTACTTTGTTCCAGTAGTCAAGTAGCAAGTTTTTCTGAGCTGTATGTTTTTACAATGTCATGCACTTTTTTTTCTGAATGGGGGTTTTACAAGTATATGAGGTTTTCTTATAATGTGTTTTTGAACGTTACATGTAAACAGTATATAAATATTGACTAAAATATCTGTTATATCAACATTCACTTAGATTTTTATCTTCTATGACACATAGTTTTCTGTAAATGTTAGCAAATTTCTGAATGGACGAGAAATAAAAAAGTAACTAACTTTTAGAAGGTAAATAGTAGCATGTAATCTTTTGATGCAGTGGTACCCAGCTTGTAATATGTCTATCTACCCCAAGGGTATTTGTGGACCTTTGCAAAACATAACATTAAAAAGAAACTAAAGCCCACGTTTCAAAATTGGAGGGAAGTTTTGATGAGTTACAAACATATTCCACTAGCCAACACTCTACATTCACATATTGTTGGCTCAAGTTTTTATTATTTCTTTTGTTTTATCTTTTTATTAATATAAATCACTTTTTAAGTTGTTTTTCTTTTTCAAATTAGTTGCATCAGAGTTATACCACTGACTCAAAGGTCTGGTTAGAGGTACACAACATAAAATGGCTGGGAACCACTGTTTTGATGTATTCACATCAGATTAATACAAAGGATACCTGATATTAGTTCTACTCTATAATCTATAGCTAATTTTAGTTTGAAATTTAAGAAAAGTTAGCGTTTTATTCAGTAAACCTAGTTGTGGCTTCACAGTTAGGATGCACATATTGTGAATTTGAGGATTTATGGGTAACAGCCTGTTGCACAAAAACATGCCCCACACCTTGAAATCATAGGCTGGTTAGACTCCTCTGTTCAGTCAGACATGAGTAACTCAAGAGTTGGAACTTAGCAGTGGTAACTGTTCACTAACCTTCCCTCTAGTCTGTCAGCTCAAAATTAGGAATGACTGTGCATATATGTAGTACTTGTGTAGGTTTGCTTGAAATTGGAAAAGAAATAAGTTCATTTAAACAATTTTAGAAACCCGAAAACATATTTTAAGCTTTATTAACTAGAACTTTGGAATCAATCCTTACATTTATTAAATATGTAATATGACAGTATTGTATGACAAACTATGCCATGCATGTTATAAATTAATCCTTTTTCTTTTTTTTTCCTCATTTTTTTTTAAGACTTTTGCTAAAAAACAAGAAGATGTCAACAGACCTGAAAAAGATTAGTGCTGGGTTCATTGGTGCAGGCCACATGGCCCAAGCATTAGCCAATGGAATGCTAAAAGCAGGTTTGTTTTAAACTACACATTTATTTCACGTAGCAACTTATCTGTACATTTCTATATACTGATCCGCATGTTGTATTTAACTCATTAGATTTAGTTTCTGAAATGTAAGTATGCATCATTATTTTTCAAGAGCCAGAATCAGAAAATTGGCTACTAAAACTAATATAAATATTTATCAATAAAACTTTTATCGTCTAGCCTGTTTTTATTAAATTTTTCACCAAAATTTTCAGAAAATTATTGTTATCAATTATTACTCTTGATGAGCTATGGTAGTAATGCTGTTAATATTAATAATTGTAATCTTGTAAATGAGACCTGCCCTTTTAAAGTATATAATATTGATAATTTGCTTCAAAATTACCATTTATTTTACATTTAGAATTGTCATGTGTAATTCAAGTCTTAGTCTATTTAAAAGAAATGATTAAAGTTTACCTTTAGTTAACTCTGTTCAAAATGTATGACATGCCATTAATAATGTCATAAAATTATCTGTATTATAATTAATTATATAATATGGTTGAAAGGAATATAATATTCAACATGTAATAATTGTAGCTTAAGAAACAAATATATAACTTAGTATGATCGCTCAGTACAGTAAAGAATAGTGTAATAAATATTGTGTTATATATTGCCATTACTATACATACAATCTGCCAGTATCACGAGAAGACAGTCTAATTGTTAGTCGTAGCCAAAGCATTTTTTGGAATTGGAATAGTTGAATCAATAAGCTAATACATCTCTGGTGTATTTGTTCATTTGTAGTTTTTTTTTTCCTTTGTTGTCTGTGTTCAATTTATTATTTGAATAACATTTCTGGAACCTGTTGTATCATGGAAACTTTTGGCTACCTGTTGGATATTATTATATACTATGCCACACATGTAAGCCAAGTTGTGTTGATATTTAGGCTATTATGCTAATATGTTATTTGAATATAACCTGTGTTTCTATTTTCTTGTAATATTAAAGTATTCATTGTCAATTCATTCTTCATTCTGTATATGTGCAGGTTTCAAATAATGTGATTGAGAAACCCGTTAAGTTTATTTCACTCTAAGCTAACTTTTTTCCTTTCATCAATGGATAATATCTGTTACCACTTGAGGAGAACATTGCTTAACATAACATATTGTGAGTCAGCGAGGTCACGTGACTAGTGTCACGCCACATTTTCTAGAAATATCCTGTTCCTTCGGGAGTGCCCTAGCATTTGCTAGATTGGGGGTGGTCTGATATATATAAGATGGTCACAACGTGACGACAACAGTGTAGTATTGAGTAATTGAACTGCAGTCA